TTATTCGAACCCATTTAACTTTTCAAATTACCACACCTTACAGCTGTTTTGRTAATTAAAAACACATCTTCCGCATTCGTATATACAATTTACTAATACATTTTTAGATGACATGACTTTAAATTTATAACAATCAATTGTATACCTATCACAACTTACTGTAATCACCACTTTTTTAATTGAAAAAATTAAATTACCAATCGCTGTGAAATTTATTTGATACCAATAAATCTCCACCGGTTTTTACTCCCAAACTATTAATAATATTCAATGTTTTTGCCTGCAACTATACTCGATTTCCAATCAACTGTTAATAGTTTCACTGTAATCCTTTTGAAAACTTCTTAGTTTCTATAGTTGTATCCGAAAAATGATCAGCGATAAAACAAATATACGAATAATTTAAGATTAAAATATTGTAAMTAGATTATTTTCATAATTGTATTTTTAATAAATAACTACGTATTATAGTTAACGGTCGTATTATATGTTTAAATTATTAAGATTAGATTTTAAAAACATTGGCTCTTATATAATTAGGCCACTTATAYACATATTAAACTCACCGTAGTTAAATTAAATCTTAAGTTTATCAAGTAGGTTACCTATCATATTTATATGTTTATTATTGTTACATATTATTAAGTAGGTGTGTTTAAGTATCGTGTGCCTAATCATTGAGTAATACATAATTTGTTGTTACAAATCATATTATACTCTATAATCATATAATAAACATATATATAATTTATATGCTATGTATTTKAACTAGTAAGTAAAAACGTACACCAGACGAGTACCTACTTTTTTTAAGAATAATAAATTGTTCTTGAAATAATATATAAATTTACGTCAGGAATGAACTGATATTATACTTTTTCATATAGTTATTATAGCCTATAGGCGTAGGCATACTTAAATCGCAGACGCAGCATACACAATAAAACACGTCTCATTTTTATTTTTTTTTTTTTACAAGCGCGTACACAGTGGGTACAATTAACAATTGGCAGCTTACTATAATTAATAACATTAATATTACGATAATTTATAAGTAATGAACCGTTTGATTACCTGTTGAGTTCTGCTCTCTGACGTAATTTTTCTCTTCGATTCGCGTATTGGTTGCCCACGGTGATTCCTTTTTGTGTTTTGTCTCTGCTACCGTCCCTCCTTTTCCTKKGTTCCCATCATTAGCGTAATTTAGGTACTGCTCTACCGAGTCTACCGCAGTGATTCTCAATGTTTTTAGGACCACGACCCAATTTTCAGTAGAATCTATCGCATTCCAATTCTCTATTATTGACTWTTCAGCATAACAGATACAATGGTGTTCTGGCATGACGTCCTCGCCCACTGTGGTCTCCGATTTATTTTGTAGTTAAAAAATGTACGAAATATTAGATTTCCCTATACCTAACAGCGCTTTAAAATCTAAYCAATGTTCCGCATAAGTATTTCTTACTGTAACTATAACAATTAGAAAATATAAAGTCACAATTGTTTTGGTAGATATTTTAAGTTTTCAGTAACTATAAAGACATTTAAAAAAAATGCCACTGACACAATGATTTCGACATGATCAATACAACATGATTTCGTTTATTTTATTGTAATTTAAAAATATTATTCGTGGGTAATAAGCTTAATGACTTTTTCAAATGAAATATTTTCGGAAAAAAAACATATTCAACCTACCGCGTGGTAGCCATAACTTATATTAAAATGAATTACTTAAATAGCAATTATATCATAAAATAAACTTAGTGTGGAGACTAGAGACTAACAGATCGTCTTCGATMAGAATTGTTTTTCATATAATCGCACGTATGTTCGTTGAACTCAAATTCAACACATCATCTATCATATTGACCCACTCGACATATATCTACTGTATAGCAGAGTGGTATCCACTTGTCCACCTATTTTTTTTTAGTGAACGAAAACACAAACAATTTTCTTACAAAAACCTGATAAGAGGTCAATTCATTCTAAGCTTTTATAGCTTACAAGACAAAATTGAGTCGGTGGAACGTAAATTTGCCAAGTTGTCAATATTTTAGACGTTTATAACACTTACAAATGAGTATATTGAGTTTGAGTGGTATGATGACATCATCTCAATAATTATGAGTCGCAATTAAAATAATTTTTCATGCACTCGTTTTTTTTTTTT